TTTTGATATCAGCGCTGCAAATCTTGACAATTACTCCTGAATTTCACGCTAGCTCAATGTCTTTGGGGTTGCGACATCTGGATAGTTTTCGACTTCTAGCTAGAGAGAGTGTTTGGATATTGTCTTGCTAAATTCGTCAATCAGAATTTGAGCCCTCGATGAATGAAATGCGATTATTTTATCGATTATTTATTTACAACCTCATAGCAATAGGGGAAGGTGGGGTAAGACGGACCAGCTAAGGTTTGAGGCCGCATATCTTGCTACACTGCTCTCGTAATTCATATTATTTATAGTCTTCGGAATGCTCAATCCTTCCTCTGTTGATATGTGTAAAGACTAAATTTCATATTAAAGAAATCTAGGTGGTGGATGCTCTTAAAGAGGGACATGTCAAAAACTCAGACAATAAAAAATGTGGGGTAAGACGGACCACCCAGCAGTGCCTGCTATCCGTTCATGTGTGTTACACTTCTGCTCTGTACTCTTGTAAGAAAAAGTAACCAGAATGGTAAAATAACAAAATGAGCCTTTATTCTTTCCTCATGTGTGATGGAAGTGCAGCTAAAAGCTGGGAACATGTGTGTTGCTTGTCGTTTAACATGAATGCATGCTAACTGAGCACTTGCATGCATGGCTCACATGCAACAAAGACTCCTTCCTGAAAAATTAGCTTACTTTAACTTGTGTCAATGTTTTGGAAAAGAACTTTCCATATGCAGGGTACAATGGACCACCGCAGGGTAAGATGGACCACAGTGGTCCGTCTTGCCCCAAAGCTAAATTCTGTCATTATCATGACGCATATGTCAAATAGCCCAACATTGCAAAACCTTGCCTTTCCTAAAGTGTGACTATAACTAAGTTTATAACTTTGTTCTTCACAGTTAAGTGCAAAATAGAAACTAATCATGCAAGAAAGGCGCCGTAATTGAATCACCCGTAGACCTCTTATATTTGATCGGTTTGACGAAAAACAACATTTTTCTCAATAACTCAAAGGCTATGCATCCTAGCAGCATGAGCTCAAGGTGGCCATTGTTACGAAGGAAAACAAACATAGTGAGTGCATAAAGCAGTAGATACCAGCAGCGGTTCAGCCGGGAGGGCTGGTGGTCCGTCTTGCCCCGCTGGGCCGTCTTACCCCACCTTCCCCTACGTTCTTTTCAGCGTGTCTCTGCCCGGTCTGTGTCCGGGGGAGCGGCACGTCTACCAGGTGCTCGGTCCGGCCGGATGGTCTGAGGTGTTCTGGTTCAGAGCCATACCCGAGGGAAGCGACTGGAGCCCCCGGCTGGCCGTGGTCGCGGACATGGGCACGGTAAGATGTATTCAAATATGTTTAACTCCTAGCGAGCGAGATATACCTAAATCTGCTTAAAATCTCTTTGATAGGGAGACAGGAAAACCGCTACGTTAGAGCTTTTCGGTAAATCCAAATCCAAATCCAAATCCAAATCCAGTGTATTGAGGTCTCCATTTAAATGGCTTTTCAGCCCTCTCGTCGTGTACATACAAGTATTAAAATTCGCTGACAAACACGTGAATCATTACGCAGTACGTACACCAGTATAACGCCTTTTGGGGCGACTAACGGAGCGAGCGAGGGGGTGAGTCTTGCACGTGCGAAATTTCGAGGGGGTACCTCCAACTGACTTGTGCACGGCACCCTACTGACCGGTTTCTAGCGATGTGCCAAATTTGAGCACAATCGGCCCAGCCGTTCTCGAGATCTGGAAGTGGCACCCTGCACGTGCGCACGTGCAAAATGGGTCCCAACTGACTTGTGCACGGCACCCTACTAACTGGTCCCTAATCGTGTACCAAATTTGAGCGCCATCGGTCCAGCCGTTCTCGAGATCTGGAAACGACCCCTGCACGTGCGCACGTGCAGCAGCACCCCAACTCTGGCACATGGATATGCAGTGCCTAGTGGGTGCCTATCTACATGCCAACTTTCAGCGCAATCGGCCAAGTAGTTACCGAGATATTGCAACAATTACAAAACTGACACCTCTTCGTTTTGCACGTGGCACGTGCATAAGGGGTCATCCACATGCATCGGGAATAGTCCAATACTTGGTAGAAGGAATGAAGCTACCCTACAAAATTTACCGCGTGTAAATCGGTCAAGTGGTTGCTGAGATATAAGCCTCGCAAAAGCGTCCGCACGGCCGGCCGGCCGGCCGGCCGCTCATACTCAGAAATTTCTGTTAATCTAAGGAAAGACTACGCTCGCTTCGCTCGCTCCGTAACCAGTATAGCGCCTTTTGGGGCGACTAACGGAGCGAGCGAGGGGGTGAGTCTTGCACGTGCGAAATTTCGAGGGGTACCTCCAACTGACTTGTGCACGGCACCCTACTGACCGGTCTCTAGCGATGTGCCAAATTTGAGCACAATCGGCCCAGCCGTTCTCGAGATCTGGGAGCGGCACCCTGCACGTGCGCACGTGCAAAATGGGTCCCAACTGACTTGTGCACGGCACCCTACTAACTGGTCCCTAACCGTGTACCAAATTTGAGCGCCATCGGTCCAGCCGTTCTCGAGATCTGGAAATGACCCCTGCACGTGCGCACGTGCAGCAGCACCCCAACTCTGGCACATGGATATGCAGTGCCTAGTAGGTGCCTACCTACATGCCAACTTTCAGCGCAATCGGCCAAGTAGTTACCGAGATATTGCAACAATTACAAAACTGACACCTCTTCGTTTTGCACGTGGCACGTGCATAAGGGGTCACCCACACGCATCGGGAATAGTCCAATACTTGGTAGAAGGAATGAAGCTACCCTACAAAAATTACCGCGTGTAAATCGGTCAAGTGGTTGCTGAGATATAAGCCTCGCAAAAGCGTCCGCACGGCCGGCCGGCCGGCCGGCCGGCCGGCCGGCCGGCCGCTCATACTCAGAAATTTCCGTTAATCTAAGGAAAGACTCCGCTCGCTTCGCTCGCTCCGTAATAAAAGGCTAAAATCAACGCAATAGCGAAACACTAAACACCGTAAGAAATAAAAGACATCTAAAATACATGGTTTTTCATCCGCTGCCGACCCCGCCAACGCTGTTCCACGTGGACACAGATCTGTAAGGGAAACAGCGCCTCGCTCGCTCACTCTTAATTTTAGGTAGCTCCAACTGATGTCCGTGGGAGCATCGGGTGTGTCTCTGTGACACGTCCGAGCGACGCTGTACAACTTGGGCCAGTGCAGGCGGCGCGTCAAGCGAGACCAGCCTTTGTATAAGAGCCACATAATACTGTTAGATCTGATGGTATTCGGCTCCAAATGTGTACTTGTTTGGGTACAAGTACACATTGACACATACAAGTACACATTGGCAGCCACTTGGCTTGTTTGGATTAGATAGACAGTAATCGAAAGTTACTTCAGGCTTGTGTTCAGCCTGAAGCATTATTTAGTCTCTCAGCGTTTAGTGACAGTGTTCTTGTGTCTCACGCTTCACCTATTAGTTTCGGCCGTTATTGTTGAAAATGACAAAATTTTACGCGCCACGCCACCTCTCGCATCGCAAAACGTTTTATCTCCATATGTCCAGTAATTTTGATTAATGCGGAAATACCTCCCATGGGTGCCCGCATGATCATCGGTTGGCGCCAACCTTAACTGGCAACAGCAGTGCGATTGGATGAGCTCACTGGCATCTATTCTGATCTACAGAATCCCTCCACGCTGCCATTTCTCGTGAACGATACCCGTGAGGGCATGTACGACGCGGTGCTGCACGTCGGCGACTTCGCCTACGACATGTTCACCGACAACGGCACCAAGGGTGACGAGTTCCTGCGTCAGATCCAGCCGGTGGCCGCCCACCTGCCCTACATGACCTGTCCCGGCAACCACGAGCAGCGCGCCAACTTCTCCAACTACAAAAACAGGTAGCAGCTAATCTTCGATGTTCAGTGTTTTCATTATAAAGTAAGAAGAATAAATGACCGGTTTGGGTTTCACTTTTGATTGCTGGTAATTACCTCCTATAATTCATTTCTTTTTCTTGCACAATGAAATCAAATTGAATTAAATTAAATCTAATAATTGCTTTAAATTCTTTTGAGAAATAGTTACTTGAAACAATTTTTCAATGCAGTGTCTTACAAGCAAGTGTCAAAATAACTGACCGCGCTCATTGAATGTGATGATCAGGTTTAGTATGCCCGGTGGAACGGAAGGCATGTACTACAGCTTCAATATGGGTCCCGTCCATTTCATCTCCATATCTACCGAGTTCTACTACTTCCTGGAGTACGGATTTGAACAGGTTTTCTCGCAGTATAACTGGCTGCGTGCTGATTTGGCGGTGAGTTTTTTGCTTTGTTGCCTAAAACAGACCGAACGCAGGCTTTTGTGGAGACTTTCCGTTGGCAAATCTATAGCCTTGGAACATTTTGATATGCTTTTCCCATCAAACGTGTAGTTTATTTTTATCTCAAATTTGTTCACTTTTGTGCAAAAATTGATAGGCACTTGGGGAAGTATTAGCTATAAGAAAGACCAGTATGATTTTTTTCTTCATAACTTTACATAAGCTTCTATCCAGCAGCCACTTGGCTAGCAAGCCCATTCACCGTCGTTCCATCCACTGTCGCAATATGCCTTCTAATCTTTGTCTCCAGGCTGCCAACCAGCGATCAATCCGAAATGTTCGTCCCTGGATAGTGCTGTTTGGCCACCGGCCAATGTACTGTAGCCACAAGCCCAACCACGCCTGCACTGAGTGGCACGACCGGCTCAGAGTCGGAGAGGACGAGTTCAAGCCAGCCCTGTGAGTTAGAGCACATTGGTCTACCGTTTGATAATGTGGTTTAACAGTATCATGCATACATCCTGAAGTGTATCTGTATTCGGCGACCACTGACACCATACCAATACACCACACCCCGGCAGCCGCTGCGCTCCCGAGCCGACTGACGACCCCCAAGGTCAGGCCGCCGCCGCGACCCGGCGGTCGGCCGCCCCGCCCGGGCCGGATACCGCCGGATCCATGTCACACGCATTTGATTTAATCAAGTCACCACACTCCTCCCCCACAGGATTAGACTGCCCCGCCCGGAATCGCACTGGGCAACGCCTCTCCCGCGCTGAACGACGCGGCACCGGCGCAGAAGCGGTCGCAGCCTCGAACCGCGACGGCGGAGACGGCGACGACGTCGAGGGATGTCGTCCGACGTCCGCGCACTTCTCAGAGGGGAGGGCGCCGGTCTCTGACGCCTCCGCACCGCCCACAGTCGCGTCTCTGGATTCTCCGGCGACGGCGTGAGCGGCGCTGTCCAGAGCAGAGGAGTCCGGAGGCTCATCTGGCACCATCGTCCGCCGGTACTCGTGGTTCGGCACCGACACGTCTGGAAGGGGAACGGGTCTGAGTCTCACATGATCAAAATGTCTGCGGAAGGTCCTCCCATCCTCCAGCAAAATCCAACATGAACAGCCATCGACCTGTCGGACTGTTCCGGGCAGCCACCTCGGGCCGGACGTAGCGGGAGGAAGAACATACATGTACACTTTGTCTCCCACCTGGAATATGCGAGGCTGTGCTCTCACGTCATACTGAGCCTTCTGCTTCCTCTGGTACGCCTCCATCACGCTCCGTCTGGCGTCTTCACGCAGCAGGTCCAGCTGAGTCCGCATTGGCCGGCCGAGGAGCATCTCAGCGGGAGACTGCTGCGTCACGCTGTGGGGCATACTGCGGTAGCGGAACAAAAACCTCGACAGACGAGTACTCAGGCTACCTGTAGACTGACGTTGTAGGCCCTGCTTCAGCGTCTGCACAGCTCTCTTCACAAGACCGTTTGAATGAGGCGAGTACGGTGGAGAGGTGACATGTCTGACTCCATTTCGCTTACAAAACGTTTTAAACTCCGGACACACAAAGTATCTGGCATTGTCTGTGACCACAGTCTCCGGAACTCCGTGACATGCAAATGTTTCCCTCAACTTTCAATGGTAACCTCAGCCGAGGATGTTCTGGTCATGTGCACATCCATCCACTTACTGTGAGCATCGATGATGACAAGAAGCATCACCCCGTTGACAGGTCCGCAATAGTCGACATGGAGCCGTTGCCAGGGAGAGCGGGGCCACTCCCATGGATGCAGAGGCGTTGGAGGCGCCGCATTCCTCCAGCGTTGGCAGCTACGGCATCCTGCAGCCATCCTCTCTACGTCCTGGTCAAAGCCCGGCCACCAGAAGTGCATCCTGCCAAAACTTTGCATGCGGGCCACACCAAAATGACCCTCATGCAGCTGACACAACATAGCGTGACGACCCTGTGGCGGTATGATTACTCTACTGCCCCACAAAACGCAACCATTTTCGATGCTCAACTCAGCTTGCCTGTTGATGTACGGCTTCAGGTCTGAGATGATGTTTTTCGTACTCCAGCGTAGATGGGTAGCCATACGACTTCCACGGTAGACAGTGATGACATCAGTCATCTTTTGCAAGCTCGTTAAAGAATTTGGGCTGTACGGGGACTCGAACCCCGGGCCTTTGGATTAGCGCTCCAATGCTCTACCTCTGAGCTATACAGACCAAGTACTTTAACGAGCTTTCTGCCAAGTTTTATGCGGATCATTTTTAGGTGTTGTTTTTATCCGCTGGGACTGAGAGCGTGAGATGATGTTTTTCGTACTCCAGCGTAGATGGGTAGCCATACGACTTCCACGGTAGACAGTGATGACATCAGTCATCTTTTGCAAGCTCGTTAAAGAATTTGGGCTGTACGGGGACTCGAACCCCGGGCCTTTGGATTAGCGCTCCAATGCTCTACCTCTGAGCTATACAGACCAAGTACTTTAACGAGCTTTCTGCCAAGGTAGAGATCCCACCTATAGCTCAGAGGTAGAGCATTGGAGCGCTAATCCAAAGGCCCGGGGTTCGAGTCCCCGTACAGCCCAAATTCTTTAACGAGCTTGCAAAAGATGACTGATGTCATCACTGTCTACCGTGGAAGTCGTATGGCTACCCATCTACGCTGGAGTACGAAAAACATCATCTCACGCTCTCAGTCCCAGCGGATAAAAACAACACCTAAAAATGATCCGCATAAAACTTGGCAGAAAGCTCGTTAAAGTACTTGGTCTGCATAGCTCAGAGGTAGAGCATTGGAGCGCTAATCCACAGGCCCGGGGTTCGAGTCCCCGTACAGCCCAAATTCTTTAACGAGCTTGCAAAAGATGACTGATGTCATCACTGTCTACCGTGGAAGTCGTATGGCTACCCATCTACGCTGGAGTACGAAAAACATCATCTCACGCTCTCAGTCCCAGCGGATAAAAACAACACCTAAAAATGATCCGCATAAAACTTGGCAGAAAGTTCGTTAAAGTACTTGGTCTGTATAGCTCAGAGGTAGAGCATTGGAGCGCTAATCCAAAGGCCCGGGGTTCGAGTCCCCGTACAGCCCAAATTCTTTAACGAGCTTGCAAAAGATGACTGATGTCATCACTGTCTACCGTGGAAGTCGTATGGCTACCCATCTACGCTGGAGTACGAAAAACATCATCTCACGCTCTCAGTCCCAGCGGATAAAAACAACACCTAAAAAAGGCTTCAGGTCTGATGTGTTGTCCGCAGCATCTGCCGTCCAGCCGTTTCTGGTGAGCTCCAGGACGCGTGACAGCACTGGATCCGCCTGTGTCCAGATCTGGATCTGCTTCTGCGAGACAGGACCAGAATTAACAAACTCCATCAGCTGCACAGTTTCTGCAGGAGTCGGGACATCCTGTGGCTTGTCAGGCAGCGGTAGGCGGCTCAACGCATCGCAGTGTATCTGCTCCCTGGCTGGGGAATAAGTCATCCGATAGTTATATGCAGACAGAAGCATAGCCCAGCGCTGCACGCGAGGAGAGGCCATCACTGGAAGAGGCTTACTTTCTCCCAGAAGCCCCAACAATGGCTTGTGGTCAGTTTTGATCAAGAATTGCCTGCCACACAGATAATAATGAAACTTCTTGACGCCAGAGACAATAGCCAAACCCTCTTTGTCAGTTTGGGCATAGCGCTTCTCGGTGTCTGTCAGCGTTCTGGAGTAGAACGCCACTGGCCGCTCCTTTCCCTCCGGATCAATCTGGGACAGAACGCAGCCCAGGCCATAAGGGCTGGCGTCACATGCTAGAAGCGTTTCCCTGTTTGCATAGAAGTGAGCCAAACATGGTGGATCGATAATAAGATTTTTAACCGCCTCAAAAGCTGCATTTTCTTTAGGGCCCCACATCCATTTTTCGCCCTTTCGCAGCAGTCGGTACAGGGGTGACAAAACTGATGACACTCCCTTCATGAACTTACTGTAATAGTTCAACAGCCCCAGCCAGGCTCGTAGCTGAGACACGTCCGCTGGAGCTGGTGCCTCGAGTATGGCCCTCTGCTTCTCTGAAGTCGGATGCACTCCACTTCCGCTGATCCGGTACCCCAGGTAGGTAACGTCTGGTACCCTGAGGCTGCATTTCTTCTTGTTCAGGCGTAAACCAGCGCTGCTCATCCGAGAGAGCACCTCACGAAGCGCTCGGTCATGTTCAGCTACATCACGTCCGCCCACCAGGACGTCATCGAGGAATACAGTCACATGAGGAATACCCGCCAACAGTGACGTCATAATCCTCTGAAAAATCGCCGGGGCTGAGTGAATGCCGTAAGCTAGGCGGACGAAGCTATACAAGCCTTTTGATGTATTTATTGTGGCCAGTTTTTGAGACTCTGGCGACAGTTCAACTTGATTGTAGGCCTGTCGTAAATCCAGCTTGCTAAACACTGCACAACCAGACAGCTTAGGTAGCAATTCATCTACCTTAGGCAATGGGTATTGCTCCAAAGTTGTTGCTCTGTTCACAGTGAGCCTGAAGTCTCCACACAGGCGGAGTTCCCCATTATGTTTGGGCACGACAACAATGGGAGCAGCCCACTCGCTGTGACTTACTGGTCTGATGATGCCAGCCTCTTCTAGCCGCTTGAGCTCGTCTTCGACTCTCTGCTGCCGAGCCAGGGGAACTGGGCGGGCCTTGAAGAACCGAGGCTTCACGGAACTCTCTTGGTGGAGGGAAACTGGACCACCGGTGTACCGTCCAAGTCCTTCCTGAAAAACAGCGGGAAACTCGTCCTCCACCTTCCGCACATGCGACATTGCAGACAGCGTGTACACGGAACACTTACCGAACAGCTTGTTCCAGTTCAGCCGTATCTTCTCAAGCCAGTTGCGGCCAAACAGGCTGGGGCCCTTTCCATGGACCACCATGAGCGGTAGTCGAACCGCAGGTGCACCATCAACAGCGACGTCAACCTCGGCGACACCTCGGATCTTGATCTCCTCGCCGGTGTAGGTACGGAACCGCTGCGGACAGTCCTGCAATGGAAGGTCACTGGCAGGTCACATACTTTCATAGAGCTCCTCACTGATCAGTGATGCACTAGCGCCTGTGTCGAGCTCCATCTGGACTGGTTTGCCACTCAACTCAGCTGTAATGACAATAGGGGGCCGTTTGCTTGCACTATTACAGCTGAACAAATCATAAACATCTTCGTCAACCTGACCAACTTGTTCAGCTGCCGGCTCAGCTGCCTCTACCTCAAAGTCTTCTTCTACAACGTGAACCGTTCCTGCTCTGTGAGCCGCTCGCGTGTGTCCAAGCCTAGAACACTCCAAACAGCGTCTTAGTTTGAACGGGCAGTTACGGTCAAGATGCGGCCCACTTAAGCATCTCCAGCACCGGTATTTGGCATCATTTCCGGACGCAACGGATGCGCTGGACTTCTTGGTTTGCGAGAATCGCCTGCACTCCTCTGACCAGTCACCTGACGAACTCCGGCTCCCCAGCGCCTGGTGCTCCTGTCTCGGTCGGCTCCCGCTTCTGCCGCCGCTCGAGGAGCTCTGTCGACTCGGTGCACGTCCGCTGTGGAGACCTGGATGCTGCCACCTTCTCTGTCCCTGAAACCACTTCTCAGTTCCTGAACATCATGGCCAGCAGCCTCCAAAGCCACAGCGATCTCGGTAGCTCGTTCCAGTGTGAGATTACTTTCAGACAATAGACGCGTCTGAATAGCGTCCGAGTTGACTCCGCAAATTAACCGATCTCGAATCATGGCGGACAAGAAAGAACCAAAATTACAATGTTCAGACAGCTTCCTCAGTTTTGCAATGTAATCTTGCACAGACTGACCCTCAGCCCGACAAAAAGTAAAAAATCTGAATCTGGCCACTGTTTCTGAAGGCCTTGGCTCAAAATGGCGTTGCAAGTGAGTCAACAGTTCCTTGAGCGGCATCTCACCTGGCTTCTGAGGGGCCACAAGGGATCTTAGCTTCCCGTAAGTTTCCCCGCCGACAACACTCAAGAAAATTGCTCTCTGCTTAGCAGGGTCACTTACTTCATTTGCGATGAAAAATTGATCCAGCCTCTCGCAGTACTCATCCCAGGACTCCGCTCGTCCCGCTTCATACGGTCCGATGCTGCCGAACGACGCCATCTCGTCCTCGTCGCCAATGAAGTGTATCTGTATTCGGCGACCACTGACACCATACCAATACACCACAGCCCGGCGGCCGCTGCGCTCCCGAGCCGACTGACGACCCCAAGGTCAGGCCGCCGCCGCGACCCGGCGGTCGGCCGCCCCGCCCGGGCCGGATACCGCCGGATCCATGTCACACGCATTTGATTTACATCAAGTCACCACACATCCTAAAACATATAGAATATTATGGATACTTTTGATATTCAAGACGAGAAATACTACGTAGAATTTCCCTAAGCACTTAAATATGGCTAAGCTGCTAATGCTTCTGAAATTAACGCCGAATTTCACTATTTGTCCTCCTTAAAAACACCGCTCCTTTTCCCTTTACCCCCCCCCCTTTCCCAGCCCTGGTCTGGAGCATCTCCTGGTCTCCTCCGGCGTTGACCTTGCGCTCTGGGCTCACGAACACTCCTACCACCGCTCGTGGCCAGTCCGTGACGGTACGGTGACTGATACTGGAGGTGATCCGTACCGTAACCCCGGCGCGCCGGTACACATCACGGCGGCCTCGGCGGTATGTATAGGAGCTCCCCGAGGGTCTGTCCCGCGAGGACGGCTTGGACGTGGGATGTTTTCAAAAATAGTATGCTAGTGGGTCACTTGTCAGTTATGTACACAAGGAGCATCTAAATCTAAAAAAAAAAAAATATTCCCAAGAGCTAAAGGTGAATAAAAGACATGCTGAAGGGTCCTTTTGGTCATCCGATAGAAGGCCATTCTGACCAAATGACAGGTGCCTTGAGGGGTAGGTACTTTTCGTGTTTTTTTTTTTGTATATAGAATGCAGCATCGCTGTTATTGCTTATATGGAAGCGTGCTACAACG